GCTTTTTTATTTATTGCTCGAATATTTTTTTACTTTTAAAATCTATGACTGGAATTATTTTTTTTTTTTACTATTAAAATCTATTACGGCAATTTTCAACGGACTTACCAACTCACACACACACACACACACACACACACACACACACACATATATATATATATATATATATATATATCAATTTGATAATTAGTAGGATAATACCACGAAGGACATTAATCCAAATAGAGCTCAATGTAAGTAACAGGGCAATATAATAATAATGAGATCAGATGATCCTTAAAAATCCATTCGGTTATAATTTATTTCATGAATATTCAAATATTTGTTTCTTCAGCCCGAAGTTTTTTTTTTTTTTAATAAATGGAGTCAATTTATCTTGAAGAAAGGAAAAGGGAGAGGAAAAAACAAAAAAGGAAAAGAAAAAAAATTTAAAAGTGGAAAAAAGAAAAATTAACTGAAGTTTTTTATTTTTCTTTCTTCCTCTTTTAATATCAAAACCTTTTCTTTTTTTTCTTTTATCGTCTTTTTTTTCGTTTGGATAAATTGACTCCATTTGTTAAAAAACTTCGGTCTGTAGAGATTAATATTTGTATATTCATGAAATAAATAATTATAACCGAATGGATTATTAAGGATTGTCTGTACACACACACACACACACACACACACACACACACACACACACACACACACACACACACATATATATATATATATATATATATATATATATAGTTTATGAAAAACTAGGTAATCCGTATGGGTAAACCCAAGGAGGATAAAATCCAGAGCTCAATGTAAATCCAGAGCAAATAATTTAAATAAAAACAGACCACTTTAAGGTTCCATGTAATAAATTATTTCACCACAGCCCTTTTAAGGACTGCGGATTATCAGACTTTACTTCCTTTACTTTGGAAGTCTGATAATCCGCAGTCCTTTAAAAGGGCTGTGGTAAAACAATTTATTACATGGAACCTTAAAGTGGTCTGTTTTTATTTAAATTGTATATATATATATATATATATATATATAGTCAAACCTATTGAGCCAGACAAACCTACCCAGGTTTCATCTAAGCGGATCGTCAGGGAAAGCTGACTTTCCCTGACGATCCGTTTAGGTGAAACCTGGGAAGGTTTGTCAGGCTCACTAGGTGTATCTAGGTCTGCTCTACGGTTGTATTGAGCTCTTTTGTTAGTTCGTTGTTTACTCGTGTCGGGGTTTTTTCTTTGGGCTTTGAACCTGTATCTGTGCGATTTTTTTCGACAGACTTTCATGTTTCTAGCTCTTTCTTTTTTTTAAAACCCTTTTTTCCTTCGAGATTGATTTGATTATTGGCAAATCAAAAATTCGAAGGTTATAGTTACCTATATTTATAAAGCTCTAGGTTACTCTATCGAGCACTGTTTTAAATCAACTAATATGAAACGTGTATTCATAGAATATTCACTCAAGAACATACCTATATATATATATATATATATATATATATATATATATATATATATATATATATATTACCTTGTTATTTTACATGAGAAAATTACCCATGGAAAAAAATGATAATTTAACAAAAATCCGTAATCGTGTAATGGTAATTTAGATTTAGAATTAACGACTCTTCTTCTTGATCCTTTCGTACTAATGCAGGTATTACTCAGGTCTCTATCTTAGGTCCTACTTTGTTTTTAATTTACTACCTTCCCGATGGCATCAGCTCTCAACTTGCTATATATGCTGATGGCACAACCATTTACTCCTGTTTCCATAGTAAGTCCAATTGGCTCGATTTAGGGTGAATTGGCAGCTGATGTCAAAAACGACCTTCAGTCTGTTGCTATCTGGGGTAAAGAATTTTAACGCCCCCAAAACTAAACTCCTCTCTATCATCTGAGGGACCATTATCCGTCTTCTATTAGAATGGGAGATGCTAACCTCAAGGAGAGTGACTCATTGCGCCTTCTCAGGCTAACGTTCTCATCTGACATGAAGTTGAAAGACTATACTGAACTCATTGCTAGGTCAGCTGCTAAGAAAGTTGGTTCACTGTGTCGTGCAAAACAATTTTTCTCTCCAGAATCTATTTTATATATTGATAAGGCTACTATTCGTCCATGCTTAGAATAGATCTGGCACATATGGAGTTCCTGATTTATATCTAAAGATCCTTGATAAAAATCAAAAGAAGAATCTGCAATATTATTGGTCCTGATCTAGCATCTCGGTTTCAGTCACTTTCCGAGCGCTGTACAATTGCCTCGCTGTGCATTTTCCATAAATACTTTCATGGTAATTGCTCGGATGAATTCTTTGCTAGGGTACGTAGACTTTGCTAGGGTACGTAGACTTTGCTAGGGTACGTAGACTTTTGAATGGAAGCGTAGTACTAGACTGGCGACGAGGTATTATCAATTTACAGTTGGCTAGATGCAACCGTAAGTTCTATGCTAACAGTTTTGCGCATTTCTCGTTTGTGGAAACTCCTTCCGGCTCCATGCTTTCCAGCCAAATTTAATCTGAAAAAATTCAAATGCAATGTCATGTAATGTCCTGCAATGCAATGTCAATCGCTATCTACTGTCCTCCAGATTACTCTATATGTTCTCGCTTCTTAATAATGTTTCTGTTTTCTAATTCTTCCACATCCAGTAACCCCCTTGTGTCTTAGTGGCTTTATTGCCTTGTAAATAATGTCATGCAATGTCAATCGCTATCTACTGTCTTCCAGATTACTCTTTGTGTTCTTTTTTCTTAATAATGTTTGTCTTTTCTAATTCTTCCACATCCAGTAACCCCTGGTGTCCTAGTGGCTTTATTGCCTTGCAAATAATGTCATGAAATGTCCTGCAATGCAATGTCAATCCCTATCTACTGTCCTTCAGATTACTCTTTATGGTCTCTCTTAATAATGTTTCTGTTTTCTAATTCTTCCACATCCAGTAACTCCTTGTGTCCTAGTGGCTTTCACATCCAGTATCTCCTTGTGCCCTAGTGGCTTTATTGCCTTGCTTGGGGAGAACTTGCTTAAAAAAAAAAAAAAAACAAAAAAAAAAAACATCCAGTTTCATGAAATTTTATGACTACCATATTCTCTTGATGTGAAACCTCCTGATTTTTTTAAGGGATGCCTTATGGGATTTGTATACATAAACAGACTGCAGGCAATTCAGTAATTCAAACATTACATATGTGCAGAACATTTGAGGGCTGCAGTAAACGTATTAATCACTGTAATAGGGAATACTATGGATACAGTCCGTCTGAGTGAAATCAAAAATGGAGGATATGTTACGTTGTATATTTTTCCTAATGAAATGGAAATATATTTCAAATATTTGAATTTTCAGCCTTTATAAAACTGTTGTCAAATAATTAAAAAAAAATGAAATTACTAGATTTTCGGGTATCTCTCTCTCTCTCTCTGACTCTTTCTCTCTCACTCACCCCTCCACATACACACACACACACACACACACACACACACACATATATATATATATATATGATGGAATAAATTATAGATATCATGGCTGCTAATTTCTAAGCATAATGAAAAAATGGATAACATCTTTGTATAAATACTTATATATAGTTTTGTACCACCCCGAAGATGATCTTGAAAGAAGATCGAAAGTACTTGGGAAATGAAAATAAAAGAAATTTAAACAGTTATAGCACATTTCTCTCATCATTTAACATCAATGTACGGATGGTTATTCGTGAGTATGAATGGATTTTGTTAAAAATTAGCAGACATAATCTCTATAATTTAATTGTTGTTCTCATCTTTGTTGCCATATTCAGAATATGGCAACAAAGTTTAGGACAACAGTCCGATAGTGTAAATAATTATAATTTATTTATTAACTATAATTTTTACAAGCAATGTATATGAGAGGAAATCGTTTAATATGAGGTTTTATTCAAAATTTGATATGGCCACCAGATTTCTCTACCAGCTTCTCGAGTTTTCCAGGAATCACGTCAACTGATTTCACCAGGAACTTCTGTGGTGTGGAAGACCTAACTTCTTGTATTCGTCCTTCAAGTTCTTCCAAAGTCTGGGTTTGGCATAGAAGACTTGATTCGTTGACGAACCCCAAGTTGACGTTATTTACGACGATGAATCTTATTTTTTCAAAGGAAACGAGGTAAACAAAATACAACTACGACAAAAATGAACTTTGGAAAGTTTGCCAATTACATAAAACAATTGCATAAAACAATTACATAAAACAATTGCATAAAACAATTACATTAAAACAATAGCATAAAACAATTACATAAAACAATTTCATAAAAGATTACAATAAACAATTACATTAAAACAATAGCATAAAACAATTACATAAAACAATTGCATAAAAGATTACATAAAACAATTACATAAAACAATTGCATAAAACAATTACATAAAACAATTGCATAAAATAAATACATAAAACAATTGCATAAAAGATTACATAAAACAATTACATAAAACAATTGCATAAAACAATTACATAAAACAATTACATAAAATAATTGCATAAAACAATAAAAAAATTGCATAAAATAACTTAACCTGAAGTTAAGACAACCATAATAATATATTAAAAAAAACCCAAAAAAACTGGACATACAAAACTTGTCGGTATTGTTCAACAAAACCAGTTTATAAGAATTCTTGCTTCTTAAACACATCTGACTTAATAAGGAGGAATCAAATCCGTTTTTTTTCTTTGCGTCAAGCTCCTCATCCCAGTTCTCCGACCATATCTTCCCTTTGCCACCATTATTATTATTATTACTACACCTTCGTCTATTTTTATCAGACATTCGCTGTAGATAAGAATATATACACTTACCGAATGTTTTTTATGTCAAGTAGATGTAATTTATTTACTAGTCTTTATCTTTTTTGTTTCTTTCTTTCTATTACTATTTAAACTTCTTTCTTTTCTATTTCTATTCAAGCTTATTTCTTCTCTTTTCTTTTTTTTTTACTGTACAAGAGTCTTTCTGTCGATATTACTACTGGAAATTCTTTTTTTATTCTTTCTTTCGATTCTTTCTTTCTAATATTATTCAACATTCTTTCTTTTTTCTTTCTTTCTCTCTTTTTCTTTCTTTCTTTCTTTTTCTTTCTTTCTTTCTTTCTTTCTATTACTAATCAGTCTTCTTTCATTCTGTCTTTATATTCAACCTTCTTTCTTTTGTTTTTTTTTCTATTAATATTCAGCCTTCTTTCTTTCTTTCTTTCTTTCTTTCTTTCTTTCTTTCTTTCTTTCTTTCGTTCTATTACTATTCAACCGCCTTCCTTCCTTCCTTCCTTCCTTCCTTTATATTCAACCTTTCTTTCTTTTTCTCCTCTACTCTTGTATTTCTTTCTTTTTCTCTCCCCCTTTTCCATCTATAGTTGTCTAGGTTGTTTCTTTTTTTTCTCCTCTACTGTCGTATTCTTTCTTTCTTTCTTTCTTTCTTTCTTTCTTTCTTTCTTTCTTTCTTTCTTTCGTTTGTTTGTTCGTTCTTTCGTTCGTTCGTTCGTTCTTTCTTTCTTTCTTTCTTTCTTTCTTTCTTTCTTTCTTTCTTTCTTTCTTTCTTTCGTTCTATTACTATTCAACCGCCTTCCTTCCTTCCTTCCTTCCTTCCTTCCTTCCTTCCTTCCTTCCTTCCTTTATATTCAACCTTTTTTCTTTTTCTCCTCTACTCTTGTATTTCTTTCTTTCTTTCTTTCTTTCTTTCTTTCTTTCTTTCTTTCTTTCTTTCTTTCTTTTCAATCTATTCCTTCCAGTCTATTTCCATTTCAAATCTGTTCAACATTTTAAGTTTATGTTTTCTTTCTTTCTTTCTTTCTTTCTTTCTTTCTTTCTTTCTTTCTTTCTTTCTTTCTTTCTTTCGTTTGTTTGTTTGTTCGTTCTTTCGTTCGTTCGTTATTTCTTTCTTTCTTTCTTTCTCTCTTTTACTAAGGAATCCTTTTACCATTTTTTTACATTCCTTTCATTTAAAATTTTTCGCCTTCCTCCTTTCATCAATCAATACTTTCTTTTACATGACTACATTTTGCTTTTTTCCCCCGTTACACTCCCCATCCCATTTTAAAACAAACAAACAAACAAACTTTCACAACTCATTTCTCTTCTTCTCTACCTCTTTCTATTCCGACCCTCATTTCCATCATTCTTTCTTATGTCTCACTCAACACACAAATAAAGACATTACACGTAATTCCTTTTCCCGGCACTTTTTCTTTCCCGCTTCATCATTTGTACTATCTCTCCGCGCCTATAAATAAAAAAAAAGGCCCAACCAATCTGTAACCTAGACTGTTTTAAATCTAGTGCGAATCGGTCCCTTAAGAATCTTCCAAGTACATCCGACAACTGAACCTAAGTACTGCTAACTCCCATCGCCATTATACATATAAAAGGTTCAGGATACGTTAGTGAGTAACTTTTCCCCCGTTACTTATCGGCACGTTATTCTTAGCAGTTGTCCTATATCTCTTTTTATTTTGCACCAACCGTTTTATCCCTCGCCCCTAATTTACCTGTGTGTTCCTAACACCCAGATTCTGTATCCGTCAACCTTTTATCCAGGTTTTTATCTCGGACTACACTCCTTTTTAGGATGAGTTCAGCTTTTCTAATTTCACCAAACAGAAATACAGAACACGCAGTTCAAATTTAAGTTTTTATGCTTTCTGATAATAGGTTTCATATATTCGTATGTGGAAAATATTATATATAAATATATGATATAGATAATAGTGAATCATATGCTAGGTCTGCTGCTAGGAAAGTGGGTTCACTGTGTTGAGCTAGACAGTTTTTTTCTAGACAGAAACTATTTTACACCTTTATAAATCTACCATCCCTCCTTGCTTTGAATATTGCTGCCACATATGGTTTGGTGCCCGTGCTATATATTTCGAGATTCTTGGTAAGATCCAAAAAGAATGGTATTAGTAATGACCTGGCATATCGGCTTCAGTCACTTTCCCACCGGCGTAATACAGCCTCACTGTGCTTTTTCTATAAATACGTTCATGTTAATTCTTCTGATGACCTTTGCTCTATGGTACATAGACTTTGTGAATTTAAGCGCATTACTAGTTTGGCGACAACCGTAAGTTCTATGCTAACACCTCCTTCTGCCAACAGTCTAACAGTCTCTTGCTGACAATTTCATCTTACTCCCTTGTTGCTTGTGGAACCCTCTTCCGGCTTCTTGCTTTCCAGCAAACTTTGATTTTCAAAGATTTAAATGCAATGTCAATCGTTATCTACTGTCATCTTAATTCTCGTTCATTTATTGTTCTCGCTCCTTGATAGTGTTTCTCTTTATCTTATTCTTTCACACTCTTTAACCCCTTCTGTCTTAGTTACCTTACTTCCTTGTTTGGGGTGAAATGATAAAAAAAAATCGTTGGGCTTCAGGCTATCAACGCTACCCGTAAAGACCTACATGTAACGGAAACTACAGCAACATTTTGTGTGGTTGTTTGGATATGGACCTATGTGCCACCCAAAAATTCACAAGGTTAATATATATATATATATATATATATATATATATATATATATATATATAGAGAGAGAGAGAGAGAGAGAGAGAGAGAGACTACCCACAATGCACCACTGACCAGTATATATAAATAGCCGAGAAAGAAAAACACTCGTGGCCTGAGGATTGTGTCTCGCATGAAATAGCCTGTCGCCTCTAAGTGTTGACTTCAATGTTCACACACACACATACACACACACACACACACACACACACACATATATATATATATATATATATATATATATACTGTTCAACACCATCACTTGTTAAGACACCAGAAGTGTTGAAAACAAAATGGGTATTTTTGTAGTGATTTTATAACAAATTTATGTTATAATTTTCTGATAAATATATATATATATATATATATATATATATATATATATATATATATTGTCATCCACAGTCAAACTGTTTCGCTGTATCATAGCTCATCGGTGTGGCTAGACGTCCGGTTGCCTCTAGCTAGGATCGAAACCCGACCGAATTGTCGTAAGTTGGAGATTCTACCTCTAAACCTTTGGCGCATGGCAGGGACGAAGGTGAATTTAAGTGTATTTATTTTTAGATAAACACACAGTGACTGAGAGAACTCGATTCGATTTACCGAACAGTCTTGCATTATTAACCGTAATAGTCACTGTTCACAAACTCACACTTCCTCCCAGAGAGCTCAACTGAAATAGATTTTTTCAGGATATATATATATATATATATATATATATATATATATATATATATATATATATATAAAATATGGGGATGTTAAAACTGTTGATGTCTGTCTGTTTCAGTCAGCCCCATTCTGAATAGATCTCCGTTTTTTATCTATTAGCTCGTATGCCGTATTGGGCTAATATTTCTTGTCCGGGGATTGGTTATATTATTATATCCTGATCTGAGAATTATTCTCAAGAATTCTGAAATTTTATCGCACTCTCAATGCATTTTATTTTCAGTGATTCTCTTTCTCTCCTGATTGACATTAAGTCGAAGTTGTAGACGGATCTATTACATTGACCTACCCGTGCGTTTGAGGCAGCATATCTCTATGATGCCCATATAGTGTTTTGGGAGGTTTTGGGATGTTTCCCTGATGTACACCATTGAGCATTTTCTACAATCTATTTTATATATTCCTGCCCCTGTCTTTTTTGTTGTTGTTATCGGGTTTCGTGTTAACTATATTTCTTATTGTATTAGATATTGTGTTGATGTTATGTCAAGGTTTGATGAGTTATTTATTAAGATGGTGGCTGTTATGGAATTGGTCGCATTATGTGACTACTTTTGTTATGGTTATTATGTGTGTGTGTCTGTGTTTGTGTGTTTGTTGTAGCCTGTGTTAGCGTGTATGATGGCTAGGACATCATTTTAAAAAGCGGTAGCCTTGGATGTGTAACCGTTTTAGTAGTGAGCAATTTAAAAGTAGACAATTTGAAAATGAATGCACGATTTGCAAAAAAAACAAAAAACAAAACAAAACAAAAAATACAAAGCAAAAAAACCTCCAAAAAGAAAGCTTTGTTGTTGAATTTATCATCTTCGCGTAAAGAAAATTGAGAAATACGATCGCCGATCTGCCAGGAACGTGCAGTAGCGACAGTCGTCTGTTCTCTTCCAAATTCGCTATTTTTGTTCTGCCATCTTTGGCCTCTTTTCCCGCCTTTTTCTTTTCTCTTGTCTCGCCCATACAACAGTTCGTTTCACGTCTTTTATTTTCTTTTTCTGTTCAAATTCATTATACTTATTCGATATCTACGACTTTTATTTACTTTATTTTTTAACGATTCTGTTTCTGTTATATTTTTTTACTGTTGCTTTCGTCAAAATATCTGTTTATTATCTTTTGGCGTGTCTTTGTTTTACCCATCGAAACCGTTTTTTGATACTATGGGGCCATAAATTTCGTTCTATATGGGATCGCAGTTACTTAAATACTATCAAAGTCTCTTTTTTTTGTCATCTGCCATTTTTACTTTTCACGTTACAGATCTTACATTCATTTCTTTCTTCTGTATACACTCCTAGCTAAACGCTTTTTGTTTCTCTGCCATTTCATCTTCAGCATAAGCTTTTTTTTTGTTACTATCACCTTGATTTTTTCTTCTACCGTTACTATTTTCTCCCTTTTATTTGCCATCTTTATTTTCTATTTTTCCTTTCTTCTTATTTTCCTCTTCCTTTTTTATTCTTCTTCTTGTCTGTTTTCTCTGATTTCTGTTTTAATTCTATTTCTTCTTTCACTTCATTTGCTTAGCTTGTTTCCTCTCTCACTTTCAACTGTTCACCTTCCTCTTTTTCTTTTTAATCTTTTGATCTGTCTCTTATTTTTCCGCATTCTGTTCTTACTCTTTTACTTCTTCTTCCTCTTTATTTTTTCTTTCATTCATCTTTCATTTCTTTTTTCTTAATTTTTCTTTTTCTTATCTTCTTTTCTCTTCAATTTGTACGTCTTCCTCTTTTTCTTTTTCTTCTTATTTGTCTCTTATTTTTCTGCATTTTCTTCTTCCTTTTTTTTCGCTTAAAAACTCCCTTTTCTTTCATTCCACTTCTGACTCCTTTTTTTTAATCCCACTTGCTTTTTTTTTCTTATGTTATTTTCTCTTTCAAATCAATTTGTCTTTCTTCCTCTTTTTCGATTATTTTATCTTATTCGTCTCTTAAATTTCATGCATTTTTTTTTCCTTTTCCTTTTGCGTATTTTTTGTTTCATTCAACCGTCTTTTTTCACTCCTTTTTAAAAAATTTTCTTTCTCTTTTTTTATATTCCTTTTTATGATGAATTTTGTTCATCATTTTCCTTCCCTTACGTCTTCTTTCCCTATTTTCTCTCATAATTCTTCATCTATACTAATTTCTTCGTGTTGTTTTTGCGTTTTCCTTCTTCTTTTTGAATTGTTTTAAATTTTAATTTCCCTCTTCTCCATCTTAGTCTGTTGATTGATTGTCCGCCATCTTGCTTATATAATCTTCTTTTTATACTTCATTTTCTCTATTTTCTTTCTCTTCTTCTTTTGTTTCTTGTCCCCCTTTCTCTTCTGTCTTCTTCCATTCTTATTTCTTCTTTTTTTTTACTGCTTTTTTCTTCTTTTCCTCCTCCTAAAGTTTTTGTTTCTTCTTTGGAATCTCAGTACTTTTCTTCTAGTTTCCTCTGTCTTTTGTCATTTGTGTCATGTTATCAAGCTTTTGCTAAGATCCTTCACACAATACATTTATAATTAATCAGGATGTTTTAATTTAATGATTCTATCATTTGCCTTTCGTCTTTTGGACACTGTCATTTGCCTTTCGTCTCTATAACACATTCATTTGCCTTTCGTCCTTTCAAAACTATCATTTGCCTTTCGTCTTTTGAGCACTATAATTTGCCTTTCGTCTTCTGAACACTATCATTTGCCCTTCGTCCCTATAACACATTCATTTGCCTTTCGTCCTTTCAAAACCATCATTTGCCTTTCGTCTTTTGAGCACTATCATTTGTCTTTCGATTTTGAAAATTATCATTTGCCCTTCGTGCCTATAATACACTCATTTGCCTTTCTTCCTCTCAAAACCATCATTTGCATTTCGTCTTTTGAGCACTATCATTTGTCTTTCGTCTTCTGAACACTATCATTTGTCCTTCGCACTTTGAACACTATCATTTGTCTTTCGTCCCTAATAATCGTTCATTTGCCTTTCGTCCTTTCAAAATTATCATTTGTCTTTCTTCCGTAGAACACTATAATTGGTCTTTCGTAGGTTGAACTCTATAATTGGTCTTTCGTCCCTTGGACACTATCAGTTGTCTTTTGGCATTTGATCACTATCATTTATCATTCGTCCTATGAAAACTATCATTTATCTTTCGTCATTTGAACATTATCATTTGCCTTTCGTCTTTTGAACACTATCATTTGCCTTCTGTCCTTTGATCACTATCATTTTTCATTCGTCGTTTGAAAACTATCATTTGTTTTTCGTCTTTTGAAAACTATCATATGTTTTTTGTCTTTTGAACACTATCATTGAGCTTTCGTCCTTTCAACACGATCATTTGCCTTTCGTCATTTGAACAATATCATTTTTTTCGTCATTTGAACACTATCATTTTCCTTTCGTCCTTTGAACACTATCATTTATCATTCGTCCTTTGAAAACTATCATTTATCTTTAGTCATTTGAACATAATCATTTGTCTTTCGTCATTTGAACACTATCATTTGTCTTTCGACATTTGAACCCTATCATTTGTTTTTTGTCTTTTGAAAACTATCATTTGTTTTTCGTCTTTTGAACACCATCATTGAGCTTTAGTCCTTTCAACACTATCATTTGCTTTTCGTCCTTTGAGCACTATCATTTGTTTTTAACACACCATCGTTTGTATTTCGTCCTTTACGCACTATCGTTAACTTATTAATTTCTCCTTTTCAATATTTCCCTTTTTCTTAAATATTCAAAATTTTCTTTTTTCCTTGCCTTTTCTTTTAAAATATATTATAAGAAATTTCTTTAGTTTTTTCAATTTCTAGTCCTCTTTTGTGCTTCCTCTTCCTTCTCTTACTTTTTCTTAATTATTATTTCATATTATAAGAAAGCCTCCTGCTATTTCCATTAATTTCTTTTTCCCACCTTTTTGCTCACCAATACTCTTCCTCATTCATCTTTTTTATTAGTGACTTAAGCGACATCATTTGTTGCAATTTATTGCCCACGTTTATGTTCCTCTTCTTTCTCCGTCTCCGCTTCCTTTGCTATTATTTATTTGTTGCAAGTTATTCTCTCGATTCTTATTCGTGCTTTTCCTCGTCCTCGTCCTCGTCCTCGTCCTCGTCCTCCTCCTCCTCCTCCTCTTTAATACTTACTTAATCCCCACTTCATTTGCTGCAATTTATTCTCCCTTTTTATGCTCCACAAGAAGGGGAAAAGGAAGGTGGAATAAAAAGGGGGAGAAGAAATTAGAGCAAATGAAGCGGCCTTAAGTAAGTAATGAAGAACAAGGAGGAGGAGGGAAATATAAAGAGGAATAACTAAAAATGAAGAGAATAAGTCATATCGAAGAATGAAGGGCAGTTAAAGAGGGAAGAATAAAAGTCAATAAATTGCAGAAGATATGGTGAATAAGGACGAAGGTAAGAAGAGGAAGAATAAAAGGGTAGAATAAATTGCAGCAAAGGGAGGATGGTTGAATAAGTAACAACAAAGAAGGTGGAGGAGATGGAAGAAGAAGAGGAAGAATAAGAGGGTAGAATAAATTGCAGCAAAGGGGAGTATGGTTGAATAAGTAACAACAAAGAAGGTGGAGGAGAAGGAAGAAGAAGAGGAAGAATAAAGGGTAGAATAAATTGCAGCAAAGGGAGAGGAGATGGATGGGGTTGAAAAGGAGGGAGGAAAGAATAAGTAACAACAAAGAAGGTGGAGGAGATGGAAGGAAGAAGAAGAAGAATAAGAGGGTAGAATAAATTGGAGCAAAGGAAAGGCGTTGAATAAAACAACAAAGAAGGAGAGAGGGAAGAAGAAGAAGAGGAAGAATAAGAGGGTAGAATAAATGCAGCAAAAGGAGTGGCGTTGAATAAGCAACAACAAAGAAGGTGGAGGAGATGGAAGAAGAAGAGGAAGAATAAGAGGGTAGAATAAATTGCAGCAAAGGGAGTGGTTGAATTGAATAACAAAAGAAGGAGGAGAAAGAAGAAAGAATAAGGGGTAGAATAAATTGCAGCAAAAAGGGAAGAATAAAACAACAAAGAAGGAGGAGGAGATGGAAGAAGAAGAGGAAGAATAAGAGGGTAGAATAAATTGCAGCAAAGGGAGTGGGGTTGAATAAGTAACAACAAAGAAGGAGGAGGAGATGGAAGAAGAAGAGGAAGAATAAGAGGGTAGAATAAATTGCAGCAAAGGGAGTGGCGTTGAATAAGTAACAACAAAGAAGGAGGAGGAGATGGAAGAAGAAGAGGAAGAATAAGAGGGTAGAATAAATTGCAGCAAAGGGAGTATGGTTGAATAAGTAACAACAAAGAAGGTGGAGGAGATGGAAGAAGAAGAGGAAGAATAAAGAGGGAAGAATAAATTGCAAAAAAGGAGGAGATGGCGAAAGAATAAGAGGGAATAAAACAAAGAAGGAAGAGGAGATGGAAGAAGAAGAATAAGGGAATAAATTGAAAGGGAAATAAGTAACAACAAAGAAGGAGGAGGAGATGAAGAAGAAGAGGAAGAATAAAAGGTTAGAATAAATTGAAGGGAAGGAGGTTGAATAAGTAACAACAAAGAAGGTGGAGGAGATGAAGAAGAAGAGGAAGAATAAGAGGTAGAATAAATTGCAGCAAAGGGAGTGGCGTTGAATAAGTAACAACAAAGAAGGAGGAGGAGATGGAAGAAGAATAAATTGCAGCAAAAGGGAGGAGGTTGAATAAAGAAGGAAGGAGATGGAAAGAAGAAGAGAAGAAAAAGGGTAGAATAAATTGCAGCAAAGGGAGTGGCGTTGAATAAGCAACAACAAAGAAGGAGGAGGAGATGGAAGAAGAAGAGGAAGAATAAGAGGGTAGAATAAATTGCAGCAAAGGAGTGGCGTTGAATAAGTAACAACAAAGAAGGAGGAGGAGAAGAGATGGAAGAAGAGGGTGAATAAATTGCAGCAAAGGAAATAAGAACAAAGAAGGAGGAGGAGATGAGAAGAAGAGGAAGAATAAAGGGTAGAATAAATTGCAGCAAAGGAGTGGCGTTGAATAAGTAACAACAAAAGAAGGAGGAGGAGATGGAAGAAGAAGAGGAAGAATAAAAGGGTAGAATAAATTGCAGCAAAGGGAGTTGGAGGAGGGGTTGAAGGAGAAGAAGAAGAACAAAGAAGGAAAGGAGGAGAAGGAGGAAGAAGAAGAAGAGAAGAATAAGGGGTAGAATAAATTGCAGCAAAGGAGTGGCGTTGAATAAGTAACAACAAAGAAGGAGGAGGAGATGGAAGAAGAAGAGGAAGAATAAGAGGTTAGAATAAATTGCAGCAAAGGGAGTGGCGTTGAATAAGTAACAACAAAGAAGGAGTTGGAGATGGAAGAAGAAGAGGAAGAATAAGAGGGTAGAATAAATTGCAGCAAAGGGAGTGGCGTTGAATAAGTAACAACAAAAAGAAGAAGGGAGGAGATGGCAAAGAAGAAGAGGAGAGAAGAATAAGAGGGTAGAATAAATTGCAGCAAAGGGAGTGGGGATGAATAAGTAACAACAAAGAAGGAGGAGGAGATGGAAGAAGAAGAAAGAATAAGAGGGTAGAATAAATTGCAGCAAAAGGGAGCGGGGTTGAATAAGTAACAACAAAGAAGGTGGAGGAGATGGAAGAAGAAGAGGAAGAATAAGAGGGTAGAATAAATTGCAGCAAAGGGAGTATGGTTGAATAAGTAACAACAAAGAAGGTGGAGGAGATGGAAGAAGAAGAGGAAGAATA